GAGTGCTCAGTAGTCCAAGTTGAGTTTCTCTGAGGTTGTTTTGGTTTCCAGCTGTTGAGGCTTTCTACTTCCATGAAGTTACGTAGAGTACAGCTTTGGGAACCCACGGGGGCAGCTCCACCCTGTCCTACAGGGTTGTTAGGAATTTCAGTCAACTCCATGACAGTGAGTTTGAACTGTCTTTAAGGAGCCTTGGTGGTGCTGTGGGTTACCCATCGGACTGCTAATTGCAAGATCGGCTGTTCTAACCCACCAGCCCTTTTAAGGGAGCAAGATGAGGCAGTCTGTTCCCATGAAGATCTACAAGAGTGTTGGAAACCCAGAATCGACTTGATGGCAGTGGGTCTTTAGCTTTCTGTGGCAGAAGTACAGACATGCTGTGGAGCAGTGCTTCTCAACCTGTGGGTTGTGACCCGTTTGGGGGTCGAACAACCCTTTCACAGGGGTCACCAAATCATGACAGTTATGAAGTAGTAACGAAAATAATTTTATGATTGGGGGGTCACGAGCACATGAGGAACCTGTATTAAAGGGTCACGGCAAAAAATAAATAAATAAATAAATAAAAAAGGGTCACGGCATTAGGAAGGTTGAGAACCACCGCAATAGAAGCTCAGTAAACAAATCTTGAAATAACAAAGCCCTTTTGAGGGGAGAGGGATCTAAACTGTTGAGTTATTGAGCCAGAGAGTTGACATCTGATACTTGTTGGATCACGGAGATAAAAATGAATTTGGAAATGTTTCCACAAGCAAGCTTATTTCTGCACTGGGTGTTTGGCAATCTCCGGTTAATGATTACTTAGAATAGTGGGCAGTGTAAGCTTTATACATTCTGTAGTTCCAAAACAGCACTGAATTTGAGTGATCATAAAACTGGAATTTCAGAGCTAGAAAGGACATTTGTTAGGGTCTATTTCATGATTCTTAATGTTTGGGAATTTTGAATCCTTTTTGACCATCTGTTGAAGCCCATGAACCTTCCCCTTCAAAAATATACGTAAACAGTTTGCTTATAGCTTAGGGGTGGAGGGGCAGTTAAAAATGAACATGTAGGTCCTAGGTTAAGAAAATCACATCCAGTGTAGCCTTCTCACTCTATACTTCACGATAGTGAGTGGCTTAAAAAATGAATCAACTCATCCAGGATCACATAGCTCAATAGTGACTGAACTCAACTTTTGATTTTAATGGGCTGATGTAGCCATTATCTCCCATTGCTACAGTTTAATGGCCTATTATTAGATTTATCTTCCTCCAGACACCGTTAACTCAATATAAATAGATTATAAATTCCATGTCCCATCTGAAGTCCATTTTTAAAAACTCTGCCCTTAGTCTGATCCCTGTGTAGCACAAATTGTGTTGTTTAGAAAATGTGATGGACTATCAAACTTAATGTATGTAACTTTTAAACTAATGAAGTTGAAACTCAAACTGAGGGCTAACTCGTGCCTTTTCTGTTTGCTTGGAACAGGATGTTGTATGATTATGTGGAAAGAAAGCGGAAGGAAAATTCTGGAGCCCAATTGCACGTCACCTATCTGGTGTCCGGCAGTCTCATTCAGAATGGCTATTCCGTAAGTTCAGAATATTAAAACGAGCTTCAATGTTCCTGAGCTAAATGTCAAATGACATTATGTCAGAAAAGATGAAGTAAAAAGATTGGGGTATGGTGGAAGTGTGAACAAGTCAACCCCAGGTGGTGACTATGGAGGTTTTTACGGTGAGTGTGAAGCTCGCAGACGGTGGGGTGACCGCTCGATTCTCATGCAGAGACTCACCATTTAGATTTCCTAGGCATCAACGCGAGGAAAGGGCTTCTGGTTTTCCCTGGTCTTTAGTCCTCATGAAGGTTTATTATTAGGGATAGGGTGGTTCGTTTCCAGCCTGCTCAGATTGTAAGCTACCATCTCAAGTGTTTAAAAATTTTTAGTTTTTAAAAATTGAATTTGATTTTGAGTGTGTTTTTGTAGGCTTCTTTGGAAGTGACCCAAGTGGTGTGGGAGTTTCAGGGTAATGCAGTACAGAGGCATGGGCTGGGGACCATTTTTATCCTCATGTGTCTTCTATGGGAGTCCTGGTGGTACAGTGGTTTGCACGGTGGGCTGTTAACTGCAAGGGCAGCAGTTCAAAACCACCAGCCTCTGCGGGAGAAAGATGAGGCTTTCTACTTCTGTGAAGATTTAGTCTCAAGAACCCATGGGCCAGTTCTCTTCCCTTCTGTAGGGTTGATATAAGTCGGAATTGACTCAGTGACCGTGAGTATGCTTGTTTTGAGGATCTTCTGTGCATAATTCTATATGGCATCTAGCCACCCATCATTCCAGGTCAGTTCTGCGACATTCTCTCCCAACTACACAGATTTATCAGGTCTGTTGACTTTCCTTTAAGTATTTTCATGATGATCTTAGGGATACTGGGATTATTTTACTTCTTTTTATTCCTGACTGAGCCAGGGAACTTTGATAGTTGCTCTTTTCTGGCTTCTTCCCGAAAGTAAGGTCCGCTGCTCCCGTTCCCATTTCCCAAGCCTCCTCTTTGCGGGTCCCTTTGCTCCTGTAGGACTTGGCTGTGCTCAGGATCCCTTGTCAGAGATCCACTAGTGCGGCCGGCCGTCTCCTGCCCTTTACACTTCCCCTCAGATTCATAGGCTCAGAACCACAATCTGCCCACAATACTGACGAAACGTGAGATTAAAACCAGAATGTGAATTTAGGGGTGTAAAATTACTGTTTTTCAACTTGTCATTTTCCTCAACCTCCTCCCTCAGGATAGGTCTTTACAGCAAACAGCAGAAGCATGCTTTGCATTCTTATAAAATGCATAGGTGTCAGGTGTGTACATGTATAATTTGTTTAATTTTAAAATATTTTTATTCAGGTGTATTTACATATAGTAAATGTATAATTCTGAAGCTTCCCACATGATGGGATTTGCATGTGTGTGTGTGTGTGTCCTGGTGGCACTGTGGAGGACAGTGTTGGGCTGCCAGCGGACAGCTGGACGGTTGCCATGGAGTCAATACTGGCTCAGCGACCCCTCTGGGACTCTGAGACTAACCATTACACAGTAGGGTCTCTCTGTTGCAAACGGCCCCATGGCAATAGATTTTTGGGTTATACATCCATGTAGCCATTACCCACATGAAATAGAGACATGTTCTTTCTTTTTCTCAAGTGAGATCATTGCATTTTATATATATATCCACTTCCATTCAGTACACCACGTCTGTAGGTGATAGCATATCTAAAATACCATGCTCGTTTTCTTCAGCCTGTGGGTAGACTACTTTCCCCAGAGCAGCAATAACTTTGTTGTCTGTAAAATAGAAATACTTTCATCCCTCCAGAAAGTGCCCTTTCCTTCCTGGTTAAGGCCTCCCGCTTAACAAGGTGCTTGTTATGGTGAACGTCACATGACGTGTACCCTGACGCTGTGCATCCATCACTGTCTTCTCCACTACTAACAAGTGACCAGTCTTGCTTCATCAGTACCACCCCACACATGTGAAAGTGGTTTTATCAATAAATTCTCCAGTGTGTACCTCTAAAAGATAAGTGCTATTTTTTAAAACAGCTACAAAACTCTGATCATAATATAAAAAAAAAAATAGTAGTAGTAACAATAATTACTGGAAAATTGCAGTATCCAGCCCAGAAAACTGCAGTGTGCTTAGACTTCTGATTACTCTGTGATGTCGTTGCTGTTGTTCAGTCAGGGTCTGACGCGGCACGGACTGTATTTTCTGTCTCTTGGGTCTCTCTCTCTGTTGGTTCTTCTGATCACAGATGTTGTTTTCTGCCTCTCTCTTTGTTGAAGAAACCAGGTCATTTGTCCTACAGTGGTGCCTATGCCTTAGACTTTGCTGATGGCATCCTTGGGATGCCCTGTAGCGTGCTCCTTTGTTTTCTGTTTCTTGTAACTGCTAGTTAATTTATGAATTTAGGTTGCTTGTGGCTGGGGCATGTTGAAAAGATGGTTCTGGACTCACATCTGGAAGCATGTAATGTTTGGTTGTTCTTTGATCTATTATGGATGGTCAGCCTGACCCATCCTTAATAAAGTTTCCCATCAGCCTTTCTTCTCGTGATTTTAACTGACATTTCTATTATCCAGATCAAGGGTTGGCAAACTTTTGAGATGGAAGAGCCAATCCTGACCCTCACAACAATAAAAATTACTTGAGAGCCAGAAATATATTTTTATAAACAAATGAAATTGCCATTTTCTGAATAATATCCTTAAAAAATTTTATAGATGAAACTGATAGATTTATTTTCAATTTTTCTTCAGAGCCACATGTACATACCGAAAGAGCTACATATGGCTCTCGAGTCGCAGTTTGCCGAGCCCTGGTTTCGCTCATTATGTCAAGGATCCCTGGTGCAGTGGCTGAAGTGCTCACCTGTTGACCAAAAGGCCAGAGATTGAAACCCCCCAGCCGCTTTGTGGGAGAAAGATGGACAATCTCCTTCTATAAAAGCCTTGGAAACTCTAAGGCACAACTCTATTCTGTCTCAGTGACTCAATGAGTCGGAATTGGTGGGGTGGCAGTGGGTTTAGGTAGATCATTATTTCATTAGGGATTACAGAATGGTGATGTTCTACCTCTGTGTATTAGCTGGAATTTTTGTATTAAGAGACTTTATCTCATCAACTAGCCATATTTCCCCCTTAACTACTAAAAAGTTCACGGAGCTTACCCCCATCTGAGTCTGGGTTTGTGGATGCTGAGCTTACTCACTTAGCGGGAACCCACTCCATCAGAGCTGCACTTCATGCATTGTTGTAGCCCCAGCAAGCCAGCATTTCTCCTCTGGTGGTTTTAGGCATTTTCAGTACCCACTGAGACAGCCGCTCCAGACACACCCAACTGTTGGTCTGGGCTGTCTAGGTTTTCTCCTGGTGTACCAATTCTTTTGTTGTTGAGACTCATTAGAAAGCTGCCTAGGTTTTCTTTCTTTTCAAATCATTTTATCGGGCTCATACAACTTTTATCACAATCCATACATACATCAATTGTGTAAAGCACATTTGTACATTCATTGCCTTCATCATTCTCAAAACATTTGCTCTCCACTTAAGCACCTGGCATCAGGAACTCATTTTTCCCCTCCCTCCCCTCTCCCCCCTCCCTCATAAACCTTGATAATATATAAATTATTATTTTGTCATTTCTTGCCCTGTCCGACATCTCCCTTCACCCACTTTTTCTGTTGTCCGTCCCCCAGGGAGGAGGTCACATGTAGATCCTTGTAATCGGTTCTCCCTTTCCAACCCACCCTCCCTATGCCCTCCCAGTATCACCTCTCACACCACCGATCCTGAAGGGATCATCTGCCCTGGATTCCCTGCATTTCCAGTTCCTACCTGTACCAGTCCTCTGGTCTAGCCAGACTTGCAAGGTAGAATTGGAATCATGACAGTGTGGGGGTGGGGGGAGCATTTAGGGACTAGAGGAAAGTTGTATTTTTCATCGTTGCTACATCACACCCTGACTGGCTTGTCTCCTCCCCGAGACCCTTCTGTAAGGGGATGTGCAGTGGCCTACAAATGGGCTTTTGGTCTCCACTCCGCAATCCTCCCCTCATTCACTATGGTAAGATTTCTTGTTCTGATGATGCCCATACCTGATCCCTTCGACACCTCGTGATCGCATAGGCTGGTGTGCTTCTTCCATGTGGGCTTTGTTGCTTCTGAGCTAGATGGCCGCTTGATTACCTACAAGCCTTTAAGACCCCAGACGCTATATCTTTTGATAGCCGGGCACCATCAGCTTTCTTTGCCACATTTGCTTATGTACCCATTTGTCTTCAGCGATCGTATCAGGGAGGTGAGCACACAATGAAAAGATTTTTTGTTCTTTGATGCCTAATAACTGATCCTTTCGGCACCTCGTGATCACACAGGCTGGTGTGCTTCTTTCATGTGGGCTTTGTTGCTTCTGAGCTAGATGGCTGCTTGTTTACCTTCAAGCCTTTAAGACCCCAGACGCTATATCTTTTGATAGCCAGGCACCATCAACTTTCTTCACCACATTTGGAAAGCTGCCTAGGTTTTCAGTGGTTACTCCCTAGTGCTCTTTTTTCCTCTAAGCTCTGTAATTCTGCAGTTTTGCACAATATATATTTTGTAATCTCTTTTCTATTGTTTAAGACAACAAACATTATGAAACATACCAATATCTGCAATTTAGATTTGATTGCAAGCACAATAATATTGATCTCTTGTGCTGTGAATTTTGGTGGTTCCTAATGACAGTGATATGCTTACCTGCTAACAATATTACTAAAAGCAAACCAATTTCTTTTGTTTTGTGTGTGTGTGTGTGTGGAGAATCTTTCTTACTAGGAATATGCAGTCAAATAACTATGGTTTAGATAGAGTTCCTTGAAGGAGATCTCTAGGGTTAAGCCACAGAACCCTAGTTAAAAATCTCCATGTTTCCAGGCATTTTGCATTTCTTCCTCTGTTCATCATCTATTCATATCTCTTTTTCATTTTCCTGAGGAGTTATTAGCCTTGGTTTTCTGTGTTTCTAGAGACTGTGTATTATTCCTTGTGATACAGATTGCACGTTTGTCCTCTGGTTAGTAGTTAGCCATTTGGTTGCTACCTGAAAGGCCAGCATTTGGAGCCCACAGCACCTCCTTGGGAGAAGGACGAGGCTCTCTGTCTCTGAGGTGACAGTGAGCAAACTGTAGAGGGTAGTTCTCATCTGTCACAGCGGGGCAAGTCGTCATGGCTGAGTCGTCAACGGATAGCTAGTTAAAATTCTTTTTTTTATCGCCCTCCCCTTCAAGTTTGTTTTCAGTTTTTAGGTTCCCTCTTTTCCCTGGTGGTGTAGTGGGTTACGTGTTGGGCGGCGAACAAAAAGTCAGCAGTTCAGAACCACCAGGAGTGATAATGATGAGGCCTTCTAGGATTGTTTTGAGTTTAACCAATTAGACGGCAGTTCGTTTGGTTTTTCCTTTTCCCTTACAGAAAAGGTTTTTGTTTGTTTTCTCTTCTTCATCCCCATTTGTGTGTGTGTACATTTTTTTAGTAATATTGAAAACCCCAATTCTATTCAGTGGTTCTAGACTGATTATTGACATGGTTATAGTCTTCACGTTGTGTCAGCGTTTCCATTACTTGTTTTACTTCCACACTCCCATTGACTTCAATACCTGTCCCCACCTTGCCCAGGCGTTTATATTTTTAATAAGAAAATATTCATAGGAAACCCCCCCCTTTTTTTAGATCAAAGTTTTATACCATATGCTCTATTTTACCCTTCACTTTTAAAACCTTAACAGTAGAACCTGAGGATCGCTTCATAGCAGCTCTGGAAACACCCTTATGGTAGTCACACGCTGGTACATCCATGGATATGTCTTAGTTTACTCAGCAGTCTGTTACTGATATGCATTTTAGTTAATATAAAATATTTAGCCATCACAACTAGTGCTGTAGTCAAGTGCTCAGTGTGTGTAGTTTTTGTATGTTTTCCTCGTGAGGCTTCTGGTCCTAGAAGTAGGGGTTGCTAGATCAGAAGGTATACGTAATCTGTTGGGAAAATACCTCTGTACTTTCCTTCCCACCAGCAAGGTGTGACAGTCTGTTTCCACAAGGTACATGTTAATGAACTTTTGCTTTTTTACTCCTGCCTCACAGATAAGGAGGCAAGGAATAAGCAGCCAGCTGGTACCCCAGCAGCTGCGGCAGAGGAAGAAGACGCGGCAGTCTGCTCCTGGGAAGAGTACAGCTTGGGAACCCTCGGTCCTGCAGGGTGGTGAATTGGGAAAGACTTGATAGCAACGAGTTTGGTTTGTTTGGATCATTTTAGTATGCACCTTATTTTAAGTGAGGTTGAGTAATATTTTTCATGATTCAGAGCTTTTTACATTTCTTCCTCTGTGACCCATTTGTTCATATATCTTTCCCATTTTCCTGAAGTACTGTTAGTCTTTGTTTTCTAAGTGTGTATTTGTTTCCAGAAAGTGTGTATTATCCAGTGATATAAACCAAACTCACTGCCCATTGAGGCCATTCTGACTTTTAGCAAACCCCTCGGATAGAGTCGAACCTGTCGATTTCTGAGCCTATAAATCGTTACAGGAGTAGACAGCCTCATCTTTCTGCCACAGAGTGGCTGGTGAGTCCGAACTGCTGACCTTGCAGCTAGCAGCCCCCAACACTTCTACTACACTATCAGAGCTGCTTTCTGTGATAGAGCTTGTACATATTTTCCTTATTTGCCTTTGTACTCTGCTTGAAATTTGTTTCAGTCACCTAAAATAGTTTTGTTAGTTTTTATGAGGTCAAATTTTGATTTTGATATGTAGTTTGAAAATTTTCACTTATTCTCAAGTTATATCCAATTATAGAGAAGTTCATTGATATTTTCTTCTAGTGCCTTTGCAGTTTCATATATAAATAGTTTTTTACATTGAAATCTGTGGTTCATTTAGAATTTATTCTATTGTGCAGTATGAGTATTGGTCCAATTTTATTTCATTCCATACGACGTCACAGTTATTCTCATTACAACATTACTAAAGAGTGCTCTTTGCCCCACTCGAGTTGGAGAGGCTGACTGCTGATTTGGTAATATTCTATCACACTCGTTAACCAGATTGAGGAATTTTAAAGCAAGCAAGTTAAAAGTAAGTCTGACTTCATTAAATTTTAACATGTATTTTAAAGGCTACTTAGTCCTTTCCTAATGCATCTCCAAGTACAGTGGTATTATTAGCAAGGGATATTTTTAAATTGGACATCATGCTCTGTGCCCTAATGGAACAAAACTGTTATTTCCTTATAGTGCCACAAGGTTGCAGTAGTGAGAGAAGAAAAGTTGGAAGGTAAGGGTTTTATTGATCTTGCACGTTCTCCTGCTGAAAGCACCAATATATAGGAGAGACAATAAAGAATTTGCCCCTAACCCTAACATATCTTTGTATGCTAGTTTATGCTACCTTTTAACTGAAGAGCCCTATCCTTTTATTAGTAGTTTCTGAAATGTTAAATTGTGATGCTATATTTGCTTCATTTCTGCAAGCAACTAACATTTATTTATAAAAAACTTCTATCACAGAACTTAGAAACTTACGATGACATGCAAAATACTGTCTTGAATGTCACATGGACTCCCCGGCTGTGAAGAGAGAGCAGCCTCTGGAGACTGTGCTGTGCTCCCTAGCAGCTTTGTCAGGGGAAATGAAAGGATGCTTCTAGAAATCAAGAGGACTTGATAAAACTTCTGAATTAACAGTTTTCACCCATTTCAAGATTATTAATGCTGCTATTCTATTTAAAACATAAAGGAATTTATGGACCAGTCAGGGCCTCCGTGATCTCAGACTTCTTTTCCAGTCAAGGCCTGTCCTATTAGACTTTGCATGTTAAGGCTCCTGAAAATGGGGTCGTTTCCTTTAACTTTGACGTATTCCATGTGGAGATGTCCACTTTTTCTGAATGCCTTCAGTGGCAGGCAAAGCAAGATTTATTGATTCACAAGATCCAGAGTGGACATCAGTCCATGCCAAGCTCTGTGCTAGGCACTGGAGATGCTGAACAAGTAGGCAAAATCCCTCCTCTCATGGAACTGAAAATTGTCCCTTGTGATGTTCTCTTGTGATTTTCCTCTGTAGATGGTATCTATTTGATAATGTGTTCGTCATAGAGTTGCTTTCTCTGAACTGAAATTAAAATATAAAAGGGAGTTTTTAGAAATAGAGGTCACGTATTCCTCTGAATTAAATGCTGGAGTCTAAGATTCTTCCCTGAGAAAGGGGCCATCATGGTCATCATCAATCATTCATTAGTATTTACTGAGTGTCCACCGGATGAGTGATGACCGTTATAGGTGCTGTACTTATAACTGACTCACTACCACCTACTTTGCCGGCAGATGAGTTGATGTTATACTGTACTTGTGTATCTTTGGCCATTTGGAGCTTTTTTGACACCACAGGCTGCAGAAGGGTTTAAATGCAGAAGGGTTTCTTGTTAAAGTCCCTACATGCTATGAAGTTTGTGTATTAACAGACTGCTTTTCCTGTTGACTTGTAGCAGTGAAGTCCAAGCTAGCCGTGACTGCCAGCATCCATGTGTACAGCATCCAGAAAGCCATGCTAAAGGACAGTGGGCCTCTGTTCAATACCGACTATGACATCCTTAAAAGCAACTTGCAGAACTGCAGCAAGTGAGCTCATTAGCTGTTCCTTGTGGGCTTCTTTACTAATTGATTTTGTAAGATGTTTACACAGTGGCTGCCTTTTAAGAGCGAATGCCAAGTCTCGTAAAACCCCATTTATCTTGCAGTAAGACACATGCCTGGCTTTATTAGTACATCATAGGTGAAAAATAGCAGCCACAACCCATACTGAAAACCCCAATGGACTCCCCATAAATTTATTTCTCATTTTTTATACTGTCACTGCCACCAGAAATGTTTGTTGTGCCCCCTCATTACTCTCCCATTTTGGACTGTGTGAATTCTATCCATCCCTCAACGACGACTGTTCCTCATTTGATACTCCTCTACATTCCATCCAAACGTAACTTTTTCTTGAGTTTCCATAGCTTTCATAGATCGTGCCCATCTTTGTATCTTTCATAGCACAAGGAGGTACTGGACTCTAAAGCACGTGGGTTTTAGAATTACATGATCATGGGCTAGAGTTGTGACTTTGGATACATTTCCTAAACTCTGAGCTTCAGTCTCTTTGTGTCTCAATTGGAGATAGCATGGCCTATTTGGTGGGGCTTTATTGAGGGTATAGGTCAGTTCTGCAGACAGACCTCAGGCACTTCCTATTGCAGATAGATACTAAGCAAGAGAACTTGAATTCATTTAGTCAACAAAGAACTGAGGAGTACCAACAATGCCTCACACTGTAGGATGATTGGCGCCGTACCTGCTCAAGGAATGTGTGTTCTGGTGAGAGAAAGACAATTGTAGTACAGTGTGACCATGTGGCAATGCTATAATAGTATGGGAAGATTTTGGAGAGTCACTTAACCCATCAGTTTAGGGCAGATGTGAAGAGGCAGAACAGAGAAATTCTGTTGGACAGTATGGCATCTAACCTGAGGCCTGAAGACCCAGTGGAAGTGGTCAGACATAGTGAAATGGGAGAATAAGGACAGAGCTGAGAGAGAAAACGTGGTGCTTATGAGGGACCACCATGTTTTCTGGTGGCTGAGCTTAGAGCGAGAGGTAGGAAGTAATTCGGTGTAAGACCTGAAAAGCAAACCAGTCAGAGCATTTTGTGCTTTGGCTACTAGGCAAGGAGTTGAGACTTATTCTGAGGGCGTTGGGGAGCCACGGAAGATCTTGAAGCAGGTGAAGGGAAGTGATCACAGTTGCATTCTAGAAAGACCGTTTCCTTCAGTGTTGAGGATAGGTCTGAGGGAATCATCTAGAGTCAGACAAATGTTGCCGTGATCTAGGGTAGAAAATATCATTACTCAGAGTAGCATGGTGGTATTGGGGGTGGAGAAGGTGTATAAGCATTAAAGAGTTATGATCATCAAAGCTTGAATGTCATAGGTAGTGATTGCGGATGCATGTATATCGGGGACATTTATTCTTAGGTTTGAAGATGATGGCCACCTTTCTGGCTTGGATGGATTATAAGAGAAGGGAAGTTGATGAACTGGGGTTTGGACATGCTAAGTTTGAGAGGCCTGTGAGAAATCCATGTGGAGATGTCCATTGAATTAAATTGGTGAGTCTCTACATGAGTCTATCCTTAAGGAGAGAAACCTAAGGTGAAGATAAAGATTTTGGAATCAGCAAATAAGCAGTTGGCCACATCAATGGAAAACAGTCATGCAGAGAGAATATAGAATGAAGAAAAGGCAGAAAGAAAAACCTTAGGCTACAGTGACTAGTGTGCCTGCGAGCAGATTCTTTAACCTCTCTGCTTCAGTTAAGGACCCTTGATGATGTAGGGGGGGGGTCAAGTGTTGACCCATAAGCCGCAAGGTTAGTGGTAGAAACCCACTAGCCACTCGGGAGGAGAAAGATAAAGCTGGTTCCATAAAAATTAAGTCTTAGAAACCTAACAGAGTAGTTGTACTCTGTCAAAGAGAGGACCGCTGTGAGTCAGAATCACTGTGTTTGGGTGCTTCAGTGTCCTCGTCAGTAAAATGGGGCTCACAGTTAGCTATCTCATAGGGCTACAGGGGACTGAATGAATTCAAGCATGTGAAATGTTAGAGCAGTGCTTGGCACATTGCAAGGCTTGCTTAAATGAAAGCCATGTTCCAGGAATGGGTAGGGAAATAGGGGCCAAAGACGGAGCAGCCTCAGATATGAGGGAAATCGTGAACATTTAATGCGATGTCAGTAGCCAAGGGAGTGCCCCCAGGAGGAGGGGATGGCCAGTGATGTCAAATGATGCTGAGAAGCCCAGTAAGATGGGGACAGGAAGGTGTCTCTTGGAAATACTGACAGCCTTGGTAAGAGCATTTTCAGTAGAGTGGCCAAATTTTGGTTTACTGAGTGGAACAAGAAGAAGAGATACAGCAGAATCAGAAACTTCCCAGGACATTTGACTGTAAAATTGAGGAAGGGTACATGGTAATCCAAAAGGTTCTTGGGCTTGCGGAAAGACATACACATTTCTAAAGTTGTGCGTATTGTTAGGAAAGAGCCACAAAAGAGGGAAAGATCGAAGTTACAGGAAGAGATGGAATCGTTGATGGAGCCGGGTCCTAGAGGAGAAATAGATAGAAAATTATCATGATTTCTGTAAGCTTCATGAGAATAGAAATTATGTCTCTTTATACCCAAAATGCACAGGAGCACATCCAGTAAGGAATTCGTGAGTGAATTAATGATAGATAGTAGTTGTCTCAGCCCCTTCCTTGTCCCCAAACCTTGCATGTAATAGGCATACAAATAATTATTAAATAAAGTTAACATCTTGGTAATTTTATGTAAAAATACACAGGAGTTTCATAAAGTCCATGGAAAGTGGAATTGAAATAATAGAATCTTTCCACAACCTTTCTGAAGTCATTCCCCACCCACCCCACCCCCGTCATATTAGATGTCTCAAATATAATCCATTAAAATCTAGTTGTGGCATATCAAGCTCTAAAAATCTGCTCCTCTGTTGTATCCAGCAAGTAAGCAAACAAGTATCAAAGTAACTCCACAAGTTCAAAATGAAACTTTCACAGGGGACCACTAAAATAGATCTAGCAAATAGAACTTAGAGTATCCCTGGTAGATATGTGAAGAATTTATCTACCAGAAGTTTGTATTTGCTCCTGAGAATTAATGGGACAACTGAGATCTGACTCATTGTTGCATGTGTTTTAAGAAGTGCTCTGACAGAAGAAATTGAAATTAAAGCACTGAACAGATCCTTCTCTCTGCGAACACGTTCCCAACCTAACTTGGTCTCTTCCTCATTGCCAATTCCTGGTCCTGACCCTACCGTGTGGAATGCAGACCAAATGGAGAAAGTATTGTCTCCGGGCCAACTTTAAATGTTGACAATGAAATAAAACATTGCTGTTTTCCTTGTTTATAGAAGCACTATGAGACCAGAGAGAAAGACCAGTAGGTGAAAGTAAATGATTTCCGTCTGTTCTTAATTCTGATGCACAAAATATTTGGGTTAATGAAGGTCTTTCTGATGTGGGCCATTAGTCAGTAGAAGATTTTTAGAGCTGTAGACACTAGCTATCCAGTCTAAAGTTACTTCTGACATGAAATGGTTTTATCAGGGACTTTTTTCTTAGGCCGGGTATTCTAGCCATTAATCTTGAAGTTGTGCCTGGTTAATTTCTAAGATACTTGCTATCACCACATAATTTCTCAACTTATCCTATTTCCATCCCAGATGGAAATGAAGGGAGAGAAGCCTTACTTTCAGTTTGACTTAATTGGCTAAACCTTACATTTTCTGATACTTGCTGTGTCCTAGGTCTTGTGCTGGCTGCCTGAAATACGAAGGTGCATAAGATGCTTTCCTACCTTCATGGAACACTCACATACCCCAGTGAGCAGACTCACTGCCATCAAGTTGATGCTGCCTCATAGCGACCCTTTAGGCTAGGATAGGCCTATTTCTATGAAGTTTCCAAGACTATAACTCTTTATGGGAGTAGAAAGCCTCTTCTTTCTCCCGGGGAGCTTTTGAACTGCTGATGTTGTAGTTAGCAGCTAAACTCGTACCCACTGCACCACCGGGGCTTCCTAGTGAGCAAAAGACTTGGGATAATAAAACATTCTTCTGTCTTGTTAAGGACAACCTTTTGACAAAGCTGAATCGATTTTCCATTCCAACATGGAATACTACATTGAGTTGTATGAAACAGGACATCTGCAGTGATTAGGGAAAAAGAGATGAGAGTAAAGTCAGTCACCTTGGAGTTGATTCTGGCTCATGGTGACCCCACGAGTGTTGGACTGGAGCTTTTTATTGTGATAGGGGTGGAAGTTTTCTAAGAAAATTGGTTTTCAATTTAACAGTTGATACACATTTTGATTTATGGCATCGATTGCAATCCCCACAATGTAATAGCACTATTCTAACTACTTCCGCCCTGTGGCCACTGTTTCCATTCATCCTTCTTCCCTATCCCTTCCTGCCTTCCCCGGAAAAGTGCTGCCCTTCCATCTTACATGGTTGGTTGGTCTGAGGAGTGCAGACATCTCTGGTGTTCTTGTTCACTGTATAATAAGCATGTCTATTGTTTGGCTGAAAGTTAAGTTTTAAGGGTTAAAGGTGACTAAAGGTCAGAGTCCCAGAAGTCTATTAGGATTTGTCATTTTGTTCTACATGCTCCTCTCACTTCATCCAGGACACCGCATTGTGACCCCTTACAGAGCAGTTGCACTGTCGAATGCTGGTCTCAGGTGTGGAGGCTGGGGTTCACGTGGTCTATAGGCCATTGAACTAATTGTTTTCGCAAGTCTTTGATTTTCTTCCCTCCTCTTTGCTCGTTTGGAAGTCAATCAGGCCTTTCTTCCAAGGCACTCCGGGCCTACACTGCCTCCTTTCCCATCAGCAGCCGAGCATTTATCTAACCATCGGTGCCCTACAGGAGCTCTTAGCTAGCTATGCAACCAAGGACACAGCCTCTTCAGTGCTCTTTTATCTAATGATAGTTTCTAATAAAATGATATCTAAACTTCTCTAATTTTATCGTTTTATGGTTAGAATTTTTGAGAAGAATTTGAAAGCATGATTTGAGATTGACATGAATTTAATGTCGTGTTTCTGTTGGCAGGTTTAGTGCCATACAGTGTGCAGCTGCAGTCCTTAGAGATCCTGCTGAGTTCTTGTCTTGTGAAAAGCATGAGCCATCAAATCTTCAGGAATCAAGCGAGACACAAGCCAATAATGAGTTGACCACCAATGGTCATGGACCACCTGCTTCCAAACAGGTCTCCCCGCAGCCCAAAGGCATTATGGGAATGTTCATTGCCAAAGCTACTTCTAAAACTCAAGAAACTAACAAGGAAAGCAAAACGGAGGTTAAAGAGGTAACAAATGTGAGTATTTAAAAAATGTCCTTACCACTCCCAGTGGGTACCTAGAAAAGCATTTCCAATGGTAGTATTTCAGTTAGATGGGTCCTTAGTTCTGATTTTCCTCCTTCAATTTGAATTCTTTGAAACTTTCTATTCTCATCTAAAATAGCTCTTTTTTTCCTGTTCATAATACTTCTTAGAAAATGGTAATAGCTACCCTGTCCACATCATAAAATTGTTTGGAGATTCAGTTAAAATAATGCATGTGAGAGTACCTTGAAACATGTAAAGTGCCAAGAATTGTATATTAGCATTTAATCACTTTGGGAACAAGCACCTAATACTCTGGGATTTGCTATTTTTCTTAGTTTTCTATTTTATGGTATTTTTGTTGTTGTTTTATCTTATCCTTAATTCTCTTGCCTTTTTCTTTTTTGGTTGTTCGGTCATCTGAACTAATTTAAGTGCATTGACTTATGAAAAGTCTTATTACGATGACTATTAAAAATAGCCCAAACCTACTGCCACTGAGTTGGTTCCGACTCATAGCTCCCCTGTGAACCCTGTGGGTGCCCGAACTGTGAGTCTGTATGGGAGAAGACAGCCTCATCTTTTTCCTGAGGAGACCTTGCGGCTAGCAGTCCAGCTGTGCCACTAGGGCTCCTTTAACACACAGTACAGTCAAGTGTAATGACTGTTCACCCTGCTATTACCACCATTGTCATTTCTAGGCTCCGGCTTTGCAAAGGGAGAGGAAGAGTTCAGGGAAACACTGATTTTGACCATGTGACAGTAGTGTGATATTTGTTTAATTTTTCCCAGTTCACTGAGGGAAATACTAATATTTTATATGTGGTGAAACTGAAATCTGGGGTTAAATAATTTGCCTGGGGTTCCTGTTGCTATTAAGTGGTAGATACAGTGTTCAAATCCTTTCTGATGATACGAATGTAATGTTCTGTGATTGCCCCCACCCCACTGTGTGCTGTACAGGGTTGCTACAGGTGGAATGGCAATGGGTAGGAATACCATACTGCCTTTGGATCTGTTTTATTTAAATATGCCCATGAAGAGTTAGAAAATATTCATGGATTGTAAATTTATAGGGACTCTGAGAAGCTAAGCTTTAGATTATCGATCTAGAATGGTTCTTATATGTAAGGCCTAAACATTTTTGCATGATTACATAAAAATTTTACCATTGTAATAGTATGTTCTGATACTGAAGAGAGTGTTTGAGACTGTGCGTGCTTCAGGAAGAGTCTCAACGCTAGAAAAAATCGTATATATTTTCTGTTCGTTAGGTATCTTCAGCGGGCAGCAAGGCACCGGGGAAAGGGAATATAATGAGCAATTTTTTTGGAAAAGCTGCTATGAGTAAGTATGTTCTTAGCTCCCTTTGACTAAATGAATAATGGGGTTAATGTAATACCTGCACTTGAAGTAAAAGCCACCTTCTCTAGCTTTTGCCCCTCTAGGAAGCTCCTATCTTGTATTCTTGCAATCACACATACGAACTTTCAGACTGGATGACTCTGTCAACGGTGAACATAACGCAACAGTGAGCTGGGCTCAGCTTCCTTCTCTTAGAGGGTAGTTGACCATTCCTACTTAGCCTTCCTGCATGGGGGAAAGTAGAGATTTTTGCTTAGTAGGGCTTCTAGCAACTGGTGATTAAAATAACAAGAGTCTGTCAGGTAATGCAGTAGGGTTTTGAAGTTAATATGGGTATTGATTGGGTCAGTTTGCCTGGTGTGACCTTGCATTACTTTCACTCTCCAGGGTTTGCAAAAATAAATCTTTTGGTTGCCTTTCTTTAGTGATTTTTGTAGATGACACGCCATAATGAATTCAACCTCAATGTGAATTAGAAGGGATGATCATTTCTAAATAATACTTATTTAGAAAGCAAAACCTCTTGTATTTAAAAATTTGGTCATAGCAAAGAACCAGTGGACACATAGTCTTTTTTGGGAAACCTGTGGGGGCTTCAGTTGGGCAGGACTGTCTTATATTTCCTGGTCTCACAGTTTGCCTCCTAAACGCTTTGCTATCACTCATTTTAGTGGAAAATATTTGTTTTCCCTCTCTGACAGGCTTTCCCCTTATGTAGGTTCTAATCCTTTGCAGGTTTTACTATAGTTCTTACATGAAGGACCCATCCCATGAGCGTATGTGGTAAATTCCAGGAAGTATTCAAGAGCCACAGGATATAATTTGGCACAATTTTGTAGTTTTTCAAGATTTGTGAGAAAGCCAATTGTTACAGACCTGTGCAGTCAAAATTCTCCTTTTTCATAATGATCAAATTAGTGTTAAGAAGAGGTTTGGAGTGGTTGTTTTTATTGTCCATGAATGCTCTATCAGAGAAGAACATGTTTGCGTCCTGAAGTAGGTGGAAAACGTAGTAATTCAGGACATCAGGAGCGCAGCGATATCCTCCCAGTCGCCCTGGTCCACGAAGAGCGTCTTAGTCTGTGATGACTCGTCCACTGTAATCGGTCAGATTGTGCGGTTTCTTGACAGCCATGGTGACTTCCGTATGTTTTGTTATTTTGTTTCTACGTATCCTTACAAACCAGTGATTTAAAATTATGCGAAGGAGTACCCCCCCAAACTGGAAAACACCTCCGCTTGGTGGAGATTTCATAGTACGCATATTTCCCATGAGGTGAGCATCAAGCAACTCAATCTGAGTTAGTGCACCCAGTGGTGTTACCTGGGAAGGTTCTCTCTGGACACAGTGAATCTTTTCATAAAAGCAGTTGGCTGGAGCCTCGTTTTTTGTGATGGCCGATTTAAGAGAACAGCGTGCAGCTGTGACATTTTGTTTCCTGCTTGGGAAGAATGCTGCAGAAATCGTTGTGACGTTGAACACAGCTTACAAGGAAAGCACTGTGGGAAAAACTCAAGTGTATGAGTAGTTTTCTTGTTTCAAAAAAGGTGAAATGTTGATTGATAGACAAACTTCGTTCTGGACGTCAGCCTTCTGAATGGACGACTCAGTGCATTTGGAGTGCATTCCACCAGGTCAGACTGCTAATCAAGCTTTGTATTTAGAGGCTCTGAAAAGACTGCATAACAGTGTGCAGCAAAAAAGGCCTGATTTGCGGCAGACAGGAGACTGGTTTTGCTACCTGTTCACGCAGCCATCTCAGTGCGCCAGACTCTGGCAAAAATCAGCACGCTTCTCTTTCTCCACTCACCTTACTCATCTGACCTCACTCCGTGCGACTTCTTTTTGTTCCTGCAAATGAAGAGGGACTTGAAAGGACAGTGATTTGATGATGTAGAAGAGGTGACGGGAAGGGGAAAATGAGGGAGGTGCTATCAGCCTTTCAAACAGATGAGTTCGAAAAATGTTTCTAAGAATAGAATTGCATATTTGACAAATGTATTAAGTGTAATGGAGAGTACTTTGAAGGTGATAAGGTTGTTGTGTAAAAAAATTCAAGTACATAGCTTAAAAAAAAATTCGTGTGTATACACCCCTCTCAAGATATATTTTTAAAATACGTAGGATGTGAATATGGGAGTCTGGATTAAAATTAGATCATTATTCACCAATAAAAAGGTTGCAAAGTTGATTTAACAGATAATTTCTCAAGGTTGAATATCAAGAGTAAAATTATGAATGTTTTTATTTGATACAGAACAAGATCATTACATTGAAATTGAAGCATATGTGTTGACTAAAGAGAGGTGATTGTGGGGTTCTGAAGCATTCAGAACTTTATGGTGGACAGTGGTGTTAACAATGTGAGAAATTGGAACTTTATACTCTGCTGAGGAGAATGTAGAATAATGTGCCCTCGTTGGAAAAGAATGTGAGTGGCAGTTCTTCAAAAAGTTAAACATTGAGTTACCATATGACCCCATAAGCCCATTCCTAGACTCATATGCCCAAGAGAAATGAAAGCGTAGGTCCACACAGCAATGTGTACATGGGTGGTCATAGCAGCATTATTCACAATAACCAAATAGAAAAGGATCCAAATACCCTTCATGTGACGAATGGATAAACAAATATATATCAGTATTCAATTTCTTTTCCTAACTGAATAATAACAAGTACTGATATATACTATATGATTGAAGTATGAAAACATAATGCTAAGTAAAAGAAGCCAGACACAGGAGACCACATAGTATATGATTCTAATATTATAAAATATCCAGAATAGGCAAGTCTATAAAGAAAGTAGATTAGTGGTTGCCTGGGATGGAGGTGGGGGAGTTGGAAGTCACTGCTAATGGCTACGGGGTTCTTTTTGGAGTGAAATAAATGTTTTAAAATTAGATAGTGGTGACAGTTACACCACTTTTTAAATATACTAAAAAACCACTGAATTACATACTTTTAAAGGGTGAATTTTATGGCCCATGAATTATAGCTCAATAAAAATAACAATGCTTTTTATGTGGAAAAAAAAAATGCAGCATCAGTAACAAAATTAAGAAGTCATCATTTATATTTTTTGGTTGGAAAGGTTTCCCACTTTGCATATTGAAAGGAGATACTCTTAATGAGTCAAGGGATAGAGGTGACTTGAGTTCTTAGATAACAAGAAAATTTGACTCAATTTTCCTTAACAGATTTCTGAAAACGTTTCATGGAACTGGCTCCTTACAAGCTAAGTGGCCAGTTGTAGCCACGTGTTTACAGAGGTGGTTGGTGCGATTTATCTTGACTCATCGCCACCCAACTGGACAGAGTAGAATCACCTCACAGTGTTTTCTAGACTAATCCTTCTGGAAAGAATACAGTCACTGTACCGAAAAGAACTAGTCAACATTCAACTATTTCAAGAGGTAGCATTTGTGCAAGAAACATTGGTACTGAAGGAAGAAGTCCAAGAGGCATTGAAAGCACTGGCCAAAACCAAGGCTCTAGGAATTGATGGAATACCAGTGAAATGTTTCAACAAGCGAATGAAGCACTGGAAGCACTAGCCTGTCTAAGCCAGGAAATTTGTAAGACAACTATTTGGCCAGCTGACTGGAAGAGATCCGTATTTATACTCATTCCAAACAAAGGTGATCCAATAGAATGTGCAAATTATAGCACAATATTTTTGATATCACATGCAGGTAAAATTTAGCTGAAGATCATTTAACAACGGTTGCAGCAGTACATTGACAGGAAGCTGCCTGAGGTTCAGGCCAGATTCAAAAGAGGACATGGAACAAAGGATATCATTGCTGATGTCAGATGGCTGAAAGCAGAGAATACTAGAAAGATGTTCACTTGTGTTTCCTTGATTATACAAAGGCATCAACTGTGGATCATAAACTATGGCTAACTCTGAGAAGAAGGGGAATCCCAGAGCACTTATTGGGACACTTGAGGAACCTGTACAATGTTCAAGACGCAGTTAGTTGTGAGAGCAGAACAAGGGACTACTGTGTGACTTAGAATCAGGAAAGTGTGCATCAGGGTTGTAGCTTCTCACCGTACTTAGTCAATCTGTATACTGAGCACACCTTCAGAGAAGCTGGTGGAGTCCACTATTTAAATTTCACATTTGAGTTAAAGTCTCCAAAAATAAAGCATAACCACGCGGTTATATAAATTATTGTATGGTATGAATCTGCATGTAACAGCCAAAATTAAAATACTGGTAGTTTTTTTCTACACTGTAGCTGGTTTAAGCTATTTAACAATGTGTAGCCAAAACTGCTTATTGAGGATTGAGGTGCTTTTTGCCAGCCACGACTTTCACAGGGTTGTTTTTTTTTGTTTTAGTTTTAGTATTTTAGCATTTCTTCAGCCACTTTTCTTCCTTTTTTAGCATTTTATTAGGCGTTCTTACAGATATTATTACAATACATAGTTCCATTAGGTCAAGCATACTTGTACAATTGCTGCCATCATCATTTTCTTCTTGAACTCCTTGATATCAGCTCCCCCTTATCTCCTCCCTCCCCCACCCTGCCCTTCTGGATCCTCAATATATCATCATCATCATTATTATTATTATTGTTACTGTCTTTTTACCCTAACTTACCATCCCATGTATCCATTCATTCACATAAAATCCTGATGTCCGTTTTCTTCTAGTGGGGTTAGACAGTCATCCTTGCTATCAGTTACCCCTTCCCTCCTTTCCACGCATCTCTTCCCATATCCTCAAGGAGTCATTACTGTTACTGTTCCTGAAGGGTTTATCCATCTTGAATTTCATGCTTTGAAAGATCATGATTGTACCAAAGAACATAAGCAGTTCTAGCAAGATTAGTGAGGTAAAATTAAGGCCATACTAGTGGGAGGAGGAAATTTTAAAGAACTAGAGGAGAGTTAAGTGTTTCACCAGTGCGCTATGGCACCTGGAATATATCATGTCTTCCATGTGGCTGTACAATTGGCTTACAGGTGGGCTTTGGGTCTCCACTTTGCCTATGTTCCTTCACGTCGGTTTGATTGCTGGTGTTTGAACTTCTGATACCTATTCCCATCGACACCTCATGATCACACAGGCTGGCGTTTTCATGGGTGTTTTTGCGTCTTCTTGAGAAAGAAGTGCACACTGAGTGGGAAGGCTATGTGCTTCTGCGGTTTCTCAGATGGCACTGTCGATCCTGTGGCATTTATTAGTCCTCTGCACTCCACAGCAATTGACCGTGTGCTTTTAGCTCGGTGTAGGGAAGGAGAGGACAGGAGACGTCGGCTGGCTTAGGTTCAGTCCCTTCCCTTTTCTATCACGGTTACCTTGGGTGAGTCACTTAAGCTCCACATACTGCTCTCTGCCCACTTTATAAAGAACAAGAATGTCTCTTTTAGATAATCTCGCTACCTTAATGATATAATTGAAAGATTTATGTAAGAAGGGAAATCTGACTCATGACATGCTTTACTCTGAGAAAATTAGTTGATCTAAAAGATAGTCTTCTCTTTTAATGAACATGCCTCGAATGAAGCAAGGTGTGAACCAGAATTTCCTTACTACAAATGTCTTGGAGGGGGAGGAAGGGGGAAAACGAGCAAACGATATTGAGGGCTAAAGTAGAGGGCAAATGTTTTGAGATTGATGAGGGCAACAGGTGTACATAGGTGCTTGATTGACTCAATGGGTGTATGTATGGACTGTGATAAGAAATGTACGAGCCCTCAATAAAATAATTAAAAATAAATAAATAATATTATAATAATTTTAAAAATGTCTTTGAATAAGGCTGTCCAGGGAGAAAAAGGTTGAATATAGTAGAGAAGCTAAGGCTTTAGTGCAAATTCTCTTGTCACCATTTATTAACTTGTACATTCTGTGTGGTGGGGTGGGGGTGGAGGGCTTAGTCCTTGTGACCCTTGGTTTCTTGATCTGAAAAATGAGAAGGGTGATATTTTGTAAAGCTGGGTTGTTTTTGTTGTTGTTGTTGTTTTCCATTTGGGTTTTTTTTCCTTCCTAAGCCTTGCTCTTGCTGTCCTTTGCATGGTGACATAATGAAAGATTAACAGGAGACAGAATGAAAACAGTTATAGCTAGAGGGGTAGTGGAAAAGAGACCTATTTCCTGACGAGGCTGTGAGCTCCATTAGGATGGGGACTGTTTTTCATCCCTCTCTCTGCTAACTGCTCTATATCTCCCACCATGTTACCTGGCACATAGGAGACTGTCAAGAGAATAATGGAATGAGATTGCACATTGGAGTTCTATAGCACCTTGTATACTTCATTTGTAGATAAACTTAACGTTAACTTGGAGTCAGAACAAGCCGTGAAAGAAGAAAAATCAGTGGAGCAGCCCCCAGTGGCTGTCTCTGAAGTAAAGCTGGCAGCCCCTGCAGGCCTGAAGAAATCCAGCAAAAAAGCAGAGCCTGTTAAGATGCAGCAGAAGGAAAAAAAAAGGTAGGAAAATTCTGTGGCTTGCGGGGGAAGAGTGTGTGCTGACAGTGAGAAGTTCTGTCTGGACTTATTGACAGCAGGCAGTTTTCATTTTGAGTACTAAATCCTCCTCCATGCTGTAGGGACACAGCTGTACAACCAAAATGGAGAGGAGTTCAATCGTTTTCCTTGTGAAGTAATTGTGGATGGAGTCAATTTGGAACTTGGGGTCCAAAGTCTGGGTGGTGTTTATTATTATTTTGAGTGGGGTGCGGGGGTATTGATCTAAGCTGATTGTCTTTTCTTTCTTTCTTCACACTAAACTCTTGGACCTGGCCGAGTGTGCCTGGTTGTGTGCATGTGTGTTCACTTAAGATTGCCCAATGAGGGGTTACTGTGTCCAGTCAAATTTAAGAGAAAAAGTTCTTTGTTTTCTTTTTACATCAACGAGTTTATTTTTCAAGTGGTAAAATGTAATTAGAAAAGAAAATAAAAAGTACACAAGCTGTTAAAAATGGATCCAGGAATTTGAGACACTACCTCATAGTTGGTAGGAATTAGTCTGTTGAAAGAAATTCTAAGACACTGTCAGCCCTGATAGGCCCAGAAAGACTTGACTTTTGTGGCCAAGTTGGGACCAATCTAGCAGAAAGCATCAACCAAATGCTGCAGGTCTCAGTTAGGGACTGTCCTGTGGACCTCACCTAGGAACGTGTGACATGGATTGATTGATATCCCCAGCATCATCATACCATTCATGATGATGGTTAGTCCCACAAATGTGCTCAGTCTCTGCTATGTAAGCATGATGTTGACTCTGTTTTTAGCAGCTAGAGGACATTTGTTTCTATTTCTAGTTTGTTGAGAGTTTTTATCATGAATGAGTGTGCAATTTTGACAAATACTTCTGCATCTACTCAGATGATCATAATGTATTTCTGTTAATGTAGTGAATTACCTTGATGGATTTGCAATTGTATCCAACCCTGCATTCTTGGGATAAACCCCACTTGATTGTGATATGCAGTATTATCTTTTTTTTTTTTTTTAATATACTACTGGATTTGATGTGTTAATATTTTGTTGAAGATTTTGGTGGGGGTGTCATTGCTTATGAGGGCAATTGGTCAGAATTCTGTTCAGGTAATATCTTTGTTAGGCTTTAATATCAGGTTATGTTAACATCATAAACCTAGTTGGAAGAAGTTCCAAGTTCTCTTTTCTGGAGGGGTTAGTGTATGAAGTTGCTTCTAAAAATGTTTGATTAAAATTCACCAATGAATCTGACCCTGGAGCTTTCTCTATAGGAAGATTCTATTATTATTATTACTAATTCAGTTTCTCAAATAGAAAGCTATTTCTATTTTATATCTCATGTCAGTTTGGTAAGTTGTATTTTAAAAAGCATTGATCCATTTCATCTAAATTGTCAAATAAATTATAATAAAGTTCTTTGTAGTATAGCCTTATCATATCCTTTGAGTGTCTAGAATTTCAACACTAAAGTTATAGTTATTTGGATAGCTATTCAAAGTTATAGACGCTCAAATAGTTATTTGAAGTATTTTATTCTTTATGGATATTAATAATTTATTTTTTCACTTTTTTATATATTAAATCAATCTTGTAAAAAGTTGAGCAATTTTTCTAATCGTTACCCAAAAAAGCTTAGGGTTTTGTTAATTTTCTCTTTTCTATTTGTTTCTGTTTATTATTTTTTCCAACTTTGGATTGGATTTAATTTGTTCTTTGTTTAGCTTATGGTACAAAAAAGGTTGATGTCTAAAGGTACATAAGAAGTAAGATCCTCGAAGATAAAGACTATATTTTGTACATGTTTCCCTGATTCTTAGTGGGCCCTTGGTAAGTTCCTTGATTGAATTGAGTGGTTGACGGAGAATGCTGGCAGAAGAGTTGATTCGTGCTTTCCAAAGTGGGCAATACCAACCTGGGGAAGACAGGGGGCTCTGGAACATCCTAAGGGGGCAGGAAGGGGTGCTGTCAAAGCTGATAGACTTTCTCCTAGATTATGGCCTATAATACACAAGCTTTTAATTACCAGGGGTGTGTTAAGTAATATTTTTTTCCCTAAAAAGGGGTCAGTAGGCCAAATTAGTTTGGGAACCCATTAGCTAGATAATGTCAAATGGGTGCTAGGCTTTTTACTGACAGTAGACTCTTCTTAAGGTCTTAGGTGAGCTATGCCTTTGTTCTTTCTCTTTAAAAATGTTTTCCTCCTTTCCATCTAATAGACATCTACTTAAGTTTTAAGGTATTCAAGTAAGTGTCATATTCATTGCATTTTGTTTATTTGACCAATTGAACTTATCAATAATGTTATTACAGTTAGTTGTGATTATAGTTGTTTTTCTGGCCAGATTCTCCTCCTTGATCTTTGATTCTTGGGTCGTCGTTTTTTAGGTGCCATCAAACAGATCGTGACTCCTGTCACTGCCATTGAGTCAGCGCTGATCAAAGTGACTTTGTATGTCAAAGTACCACTTCTCCATAGGGTTTTCTAGACTGTAATCTTTATAGGAGCAGATTGCCCGGTCTTTACCCGAAGGTTCCACTGGGCGGATCTGGCCTTTAGCTTAGCAGCCAACACTAAACCAAACTCCCTGCTATCGAGTCAGTGCTGACTCCCAGCGACCACCTGCGGGTTTCCAAGACTGTAACTGTTTATAAAAGTAGAAAGCCCAGTCTTTCTCTCACAGAGCTGCTGGTGGTTTTAAACCACTGACCATGAGGATCCCAGCCCAACGTGTAACCACTACACCACAGGGCTCCTTTGTTGGCAGTAGCTGCTTATTTAATGCTTACTGGATGATTGAAAGTCTAGTATAGGAAGTAAAAAGAAATTTGGGAAAATTCTTAATGACTCCTTGGAGTGCCTAGTGTGTTCTTTTAAAAAACAAAAATCCTTACTGGTCTGTTTTGACTCTTCTGCCCTCTGATATTAAGGACTATGAGTTACGAGACAAGATCCATGGTAGCATATGAGTACTATATTCCTGTTCTGTGTAACACTCCCCATTTCTTCCTGGGTGGCAACAGGGGGAAACGAGTGGAGTTATCTGATGATGAGACAAGAGAAACTGAAAACATGAAGAAAAAGAGGAGACGGATCAAGCTTCCTGAGTCCGATAGCAGTGAGGATGAAGGTGGGTGTTACTGTATTTTTGGCTGTGGAATTATTTCTTTGTATAATGCTCAAGGAGCTTTTAAAAAATAAATTGTTATTGTAGGTCACAATGAGAGATAATCCTAGTATTAAGTACCTGTTTCTATTTGACCACACCAGGATCTTTCTGGAAATTTGCCAAATTAACACATAGAAATACAATATGGTTTGGTATTGTCTCAGACTCTTTTTAAGAAGAGAAGCCCTGCGGGTGGTGTAGTATTTAAGTGCCTCCGTGGCTAATTGAGCAGTTGGCAGTTCAAGTTCACCAGCTGCTCTATAGAAGAAAGACGTAGCCGCCGGCCCTATGGAGCAGCTCTGCTCTGTCCTACAGGGTCCCTGTTAATTGGGACCTGCTAGGCACTAGTGGGTTTGGCTTTGCTTTTGCTTAGAAGAAAAGTGGAGCCATTTGGGAGGCTACCTTCATGTGGCATTTTTAAGAAGAAGAATATTGTAGATACCAAGGTGTTTTTGGTGTATACTGACTTCACCACGAAAGTCAACCCGGAAGAATCTATTGTGTATGTCTTCAATGAAAGGAAATGACACTGTAGACCCTTCTAGTTTTAGGCTTTGAGCATTGTTGTTAAGATAAGCAAACAAAATAAGGGCAAGATTCTTGCCAGGAAAACGAATGTGCTTTTAAAGGACCATTCTGTACAGTACTAAGAGTGCCGAGGTCCCCTCCCAACCTGTGTAAAGGGGAGACAGTGAGTCGGCTCTCCTCTGAGAAGCTACCTTGGAGAACCAGTGGTGGAAAGCTCGAGCTGCTGTAAGCGGTTTTCCATGAATTTGTCACATAAATGGGTATAAGGAAATGTAGAGAGAGAAATCGAGACTAAATGGAGTCAGCACCACATAGAGGTACGCAGACAGATGCAAACAGAGGGATGCTACAGGATTACAAAAGAATGCTAGATGCAAAACAGGAGCCTGTTGTGCTATTAAAAGACAAACATTTGCTGTGAGAAAAACTGAAAATCAAAGCAGGCTCCCCACAAAAATATTTTAGTTCAACACAGCAAGTGAATGAAAAAAATTCATTAGCTGTATAGCTGACAATAAGGACAGGGCCAAGAAACAGCACAAGGAAGTCAAGTCTGTCTGTGATAGAAGTACCACTTTTGACTCTTTTACAGATTTAGATCTCACCAGACGTAAGGATCACAGCCCATGTGCTGCACAAGGTGTCGTTTTTTCCCTCAGCAGTACGAATTCTCAGTCCTCTAGACTGTGAGCACCCAAGAAGGAAAGCTGCCATAGGCTCTTCTCCTAGAGTTTCTTAAAATGCTTTGACCCAGGCTTCCGAAAGGAAGATTTCCAAGTAGATGGATGAGCGCAAACCTCAAGGAATATGCTGACTAGTTAAGGGCTGAGGGGATAGAGACAACTCCATTGCAGACACATGAGAAAATAGCAAGTAAATCAGGGAGATGTGCTTATTAAAGTTGTGTTCCATATATCTAGACAGAACAATAACTTGGAACCGGTTCTGGAAAGGCTTTGAAGCTATCCGGCACATTAGAAAAGTAAACCAGATAGTCTAGAAGTTGTGAAAGATTCAGCTCTAAGACAGGAGCAATTACTGTGTTTGAGCACTAGAAATAAATTCTCTCTAGTTGGGACCCTTAGCCCACAAGAACACGAATGCCCGTAAGTGATTAGAAATATGAGTGGAGCTGTTTGTTTGGAAAGGAGAGAGAAAAGGTGTGATAGGGGTGACAGCCTTTAATAGCAGATGATATAGAGCAGAGGCTCTCAGATTTTTTTTCACTGGCAGATAATTTTTGGCATCTGACTAAATATATAAACCTGCTATTTTATTTCTAAATTTCTCCTTTGTCTCAAAGTCAGTAGAATTTTATTTTAAACCCTCACACAGTCTTTAACCTATTATTGTTTTATTTCTACACTGAGTATGTGGTGTTAGATACCACTCTGTGAACTAGACATTAGCAGATGAGCAGCGAGGATTGAGGGAATGGCCAGGGCTTGAGAGGCAGAGGGGCTGCATTTACATCTTATCTACCATGTGACTTTACCAGATTACATGCCTTCGATGCTCACTGCCCTCACCTCTGCAGTGGGGTGTACCACAAGCCATTTAAGCTTTTTTGAATATAAATTGAAATAATGTGTCACAATACTTGACACACAGTCCATTTTCTTCTTAATCACTCTACTTTTCCTATCGAAGTGGTCCGTAAGGCACATTTGGGTTCCCTTTAACTTCATATCCCTACATTATCTGTCTAAGGGGTCATTCCTTTCTCCTAAAACCTGGCACAGTCATAGCACCTTTAACAGTTCACTGAACACGCCCTCTGCAGGGAGGGAAAAAGAGACGAGGCCAAAAAAGAGGTCACATTAAGAGTAGTAGTTATTGCTAAGGGGAAACACAGTCTTGGCTGACGTTTTTGGTAATTGCAAGTTGCTTATGGAGAAGATCCTGTAAATCATACATCTCTTAAGGTTAGGTTGGGTAATTTAGAAATCCTGAGTCGTGACTGATTTCCAGGAATTCTGATTACTCATTTCTATCAGAAAACTCTTTTACAAGTGAGATACTGGTTATATTTCTGCCTCCCTGAAATTAGTTTTGTCAGTTTTTATTTGGCCCAAAAGCTTCTCTAGGATAAATGATATATACTGTATGTACTCGAGTATAAGCCGACCTGAATATCCGCCAAGGCACCTAATTGTACCACAAAAACTGCATTAAAAATGTGCTGCAAAAACTCGGCTTATACTCTGAGTCTATACGGTAACTGATGTTTTGCTACTCGAGTATCTTCTCATCTGAAAAGCTGTAGATTGGGCAACAAATGTACTGAGAGTACGCCGGTGTTCAAACATCCTCAAGGCTCATATCACAAAAAATACCTTGAGGCAGAGTGCTGGAGGTGATGACAAAGGCTTCAGGCAGAACTGGAGTATGGATATGGACATTCTCCATCTTATTGACAAATAAAGAGCAATGATGATTTTGTAGGGTTTTATGACAATGAATGGTTAACATTTGTAAAGCCCGGTAAATTATAGTTATCCATATCCTTTCTTCAAATATTCTTTTATTAAAAAATAAATAAATCAGATAACACATACACCATTTTAAGAAATTGAGGCTGTTATAATCGTAACAACATTGACATTTTCACATTTGTAATTCAGTGACACAGACACAATTTTTTAAAAGATAGATGTTTTCTTAACAATTATTATTATCACCTAATTATACTTCTCTCGTCAACTTTCTCCCCTCTGCCATCCATCTTCCAGAAATTTGTTGAAATTTCTTACTCAGTGAGGGCTCTTCACTCCTGTTCTCTCTTTTAGGGGTTACAGTAAATTGTGTTCTGGCTATCATTAGGCTTCCTTGGTGGGGAGGGAGAAGGGTGTTCAAGGAACTTTCAAAAATACATAGAAAAATGCCTTAATATTTTAATTCCACTTTCCCGTGAACTTTTGGAAGCCACCTCATACCTGCCCAGGCCTCTGTGACCTGAAAGATTTAGTGTGGGAAGTGATTGTTTACCTTTACTAACAAAATTATTGTTACCATGTTTCTAATGCCAGCGTGGCAGTGGTACCCGTCTCCACATATCATGGTGCTGGAGGAGGACTCTAGATGGATAGCTGGGTGCAGTGCAGCGAGAGGAGTCAGTGTTTCCCTTGGGTAGTAAGTACCGTAGTTATAGAACTGGAAATAAGAACTCCTAGATTGATTGCTGTAAGTACTCAGAATTCCTTTCCTTTGGCTTCCTCACGGCACAAATCTTCCTCCTGGCTCCCTTATACCCCATCTCCCCTCATGGCACTTAGACCTTTCAAAAACTAGGGGCGGGCTTCTGTGGCTGGACTTTCTCTTACTTGAGCGCAGCTCGTGTTCTGCCTTCATAATTGGACCACTTTCCTTGCGTGTCTCTCCCTGGTTTCCCAGAGCCTATAAAGTTGAGGCCCGTTTCGTACTTGAAGTGTGTAATTTATTGTTTTGTTCTGGCCCTTATTCTGCTTCACCTCTTTAGGTCATTTGGCCTTGAACCCTCTTCTAATAATTTTTAATGCTGACCTACTCAGTAGGGAGACTTTTCGATCCAAGGCTTGTGCTAAGAATTTGAATACAGCCAGGAGATTCTGGGAGCAGGTGAGGCTAAGTAGCTCCTCAGTGCCCTGACCGGCCATTTCACTGTAGTGATGAAGTAATAGGTCAGCCGAGGAGTCTCACTTCCCCCCTCATGGACCTTACCTGAAGCCGGTCAGTTGAGGGGCGCCAGCTGAAGATGCCTCTTCTCAGGTGATGCTCCTTACCCAGCAGAAGTTCTTCCTCCCACTCCCGCTTCTGCAGAGCTCAGGGTAGGTCTGCAAAAGCAGAGTGCACCTCCGCGGTGGGGCCGTCAGTAGGAGGAGTCTTTACATAAAACATCATGTTAGAGCTTTCATTGTGCTCATTTCTCAGGTGAGTTCTCTTCCCCGCAAGGCTTATTATACCGTGTGCATTAGCTGGGAAATGCACGAACATCTTGGGGGGTTTTAAATAGTCCTCATATTTAAATAGTCCACATCTTGGGGGTTTTTTAATAGTCCTCATATAACGTTCAGAAAGGCACTGGCATAAAACATTTGGTATAATATGTTGCTTCTCCACGTGGTTGGAGGATAGCATTGGAATGGGAAGCCTGGAGAACCAGGCTGACTTCGATTTAAAACTTTTGGCCTCAATTACAAGCTCAGTGGCCTTGCCTAGTTAATTAACCTCCCCAAACCTAGTGTGTGAGTAATAATAATTGCCTACTAATATTTGCCTCGTGGGTCATTGTGGGGTAAAATGAAACTGTAAGTGAAATATGTGACACATGCCAAGTGATCAGTACATACTGATAAAATTTCATACCATGATTTATCAGTAAGATGGAATTCAGATGCTCTACTGCCGCGACCCTTTCATACAGTTCATGTTGTGGTGACCCCCCAACCATAAAAAATATTTTCGTTGCCACTTCATCACTGTCATTTTGCTACTGTTATGATTCGGGCGACCCCTGTGAAAGGGTCGTTTGACTCCCAAACGGGTCGAGACCCACAGGTTGAGAACCGCTGCTCTAGACAGTACATTCCAGCCTTGATAATTCTTAATTCTCTGGTTCAGAGATAATTACTATATAGCCACAAAGTCCTTGGTTGACATGAAGTACTACTTGTAAAATACTGTGTGCTGGACATGCACGTTGGGAGTGCCAGTGGAGCAGGCCTTGTACCAGATTGAGCAGGTAGTCAGTTCTGTTATCTAAGCTTGTTTTCCTATTGCAGTCGTACTAGACTCTCCTGAGATGTATGAAGCTGAGTCACCACCCCCTGCTCCTCCTGCTTCTCCACCTCCTGAACCAGTACCAAAGACTGAGCCAGAGCCTCCTGCCACCAAGGTAAAACTTTATTTGAATGCCTGGATTTCCACTAATTCTTTATGACCAAACAGGAGCCCTGGTGGCACACTGGGTTAAGTGCTGTGCTGCTAACCATGGGGTTGACTATTCAAGCCCACCATCAGCCCAGGAGTGAGCTGTATGGGCTTATAAAGATGTACAGTCTCAGAATTCCCGTGTAGTGTTGCTATAGATTGGATTGACTTGATGGCAGTGTGGTTTCGTTTTGTTTGTTTTTCCTAGGTTCTCTAGAAAGTGAGTGTTCAGCTCCTTGCGCCGGAAGCCATGGGGCACAGTCTCGGAAGGGTGCAGAGGAGGGTCCTGAGAGCTGTTCTGATTCTCATGGCCTCCAGCGCCAGGGCTGCTGTTTCACAGCTCCTGTTGGACGTGTCCAAAAAGAGACCCTGCCTCTGTCTGAAGAGAGTGCACGATAAAGTAGCACAGACTTCACTCGTTTCACTTTGTTGCTTTTCTGAAAAGGGCCGGGTGGGGAAGGTGGCCACAAATGGGAAAGAGAATTGTAGTGATCCTCAGCGCCTCTCGTCTGCCTCTATTCGCCGTAGACAGCGAAGACTGGGGGAAATGGATGACGACGCTGTTTTCTTCGCTGTGGTTACTCATGTTCCTTAATTCAGTATAGTAAAGCTACCGTTAAATTGTGCACTGATGACCTGATTTGCCGAAGAGAAATAGTAGAATGCATTACCTCTTGTCTGACATCAAAATCCCCCCACACCCCCTCCATTGCCATCGAGTCTGTTTTGCCCGATAGTGACCCTTTTGGAACGAAGGTCTGCCCCACTGGGTTTCTGAGGCTCTAATCTAAGCAGACTGTCACATCCTTCTGCTGAGTGACTGGTGGGTGAGCAGCCTAGCACTTTAACCACTGCACCACCAGAGCTTCTTAAGACAAAGTCAGATGACTGTGATGTCAACATATCAAGACTGAAGTGTCAGATGTCAGAGCAGGCTATGTGCTGCTGAAGCCCTGGTTTGAAGACCTGGTTCGGGGCTGTCCTGTGTGCTCCCATCTTATCTGCTGCAGTCTGCAGTCTTCCATCAATGCAATTGGTCCAGCGTACATTGGTCCGTTTCTCTGTCGCGTTCCTCCACGAGACTTTAGGAACCTTGTCCTGTTTTCTTTTAAGCCTGGTACTTGAACCACCCAGCAAATGAGTCTAGACTCGGTGAGCATAGATCTCTTTGTTTAACTTACTACCTTCCTTCTCATAAACAAGGAAATATCAAGCCTGCACATGCTGTGAGCATAACTATAGTTGTATCGCAGGACTGGTTCCCTAAAAAACACCTTTCATTTCATGTATCAACATGGAACATTGGAAGGTTATTGTTATAGAAGGACTAAAAAGGCTAAGGTTATTTTACTTTATTTTGTAGCCTCATTGGTCACCTTAATGCTTGTCCTCTGATTTTTTTTTTTAGGGCTCGAGTGGAGAAAAGAGAAGAAAACGAAAACGTGTGCTAAAATCTAAGACTTACCTGGATGAGGACAACTGCATGGGTAAGAAAGAAACTTTGGCCCCAAGTCCAGAAGTAGAGTTCTGATCGTGGACACACTTAAGAGCAGTGTGTCTTAAATGCAAGGGCTGACCACTTCTCTGAAGAACCACTCAGAGAACAGTGCAACTAAAGTCACAATACAATAAAGTCATGTTTGAGCCATAGACTATCAAAATAAACTTTATCATTTTGGCTAAAAGTCTAGTAAACTCTAAGAGGGAAATGCCTTGGTCCATAGAGTGGAGATAAAATATCCATTTTGCTAATCTATGGAATGGTTGTAAAAATTCAAGTGAAATAATGTATCTGAAAACCCCTTCAAGATGGAAACCACAGTATGAGCTGGTTATTGTCATCCTAGACATTGAGAAGTATTGTTTCACCCGTTTCATCTGTGGAAACAAAGATCTTAGTGATGACTAGCCTTCCAAAGAGAGCATTAACAGTCATTTTTAGTACTTTGTCCCGTTTGTTGTTCAGCAGGGTCTGACTCATCTGAATCCTTTCTTTTCAGTTTCCTCTTTGTAAGCCATGTTGTGTAAAAGCATATGCTTGTTATGGGGCCTAGAGGAGAAATAGAATCAGGCGGGCGCCATTGGCTAATTCTTCACCCTTTCTATGATTGAACCTCTGTGTCTTCTGGGAGGCTTGTAGGATCGAGCACTTGATGCCGGATGGCTCACTGAGATCTTGATGCTATATTTTTGTATTTGGAAAGAGTCAGAGTTAGCCCTTAAACTTCTTGGTAACTGGATAGCCCACAGTGTCACTTCTTATTTCCTGTGGTACCTTCCAAAGCTTAGCTTTCTAGAGAAATTTTTTCCTCACTTGATTGTCCTTTTCTAGCACAAATTTCCTCCCCACCCCAACAGTTTTATTGACATAAAATTCACAAATCATATAATTCAATAGTTCAGTCACTTCAAGAAGAGTTGTACAGTCATCACCACAATCAGTTCTAGAACATTTTTCATTCTTGTGTTCATCATTGTTAGCTCCCCATGTCCCCCCAACCTCCCCTGCCACACCTCCAAGGAACCATTAATTTAATTACTGTCTCTATAGATGTATCTATCCTAGATTTTATATACAGAAAAACAGTATAAGACTAACAGTAATATCAAAGTAAAACATTTTAAAAAAACCTCAATCAAAAAGAAAGCAGAAAACATTCAAAAGTAGAACAAATTCAAATGGATCATAAGGGAGATCAAATGATAGGGTGCTAAATTTTGACTTCACTGCATCGGCACCAATCCACTTTCCCGGGCATGCTGCATGTTAGCAAGGCTATTCACAGCCCTGGTCCGTGGTCTGAGGGGAATCACCAGAGGGCTCAATCCACAGCATGTATTTCCGCTTCACTTTTTTAAAAAATTCAAGCAGCTTGAAAATGGGTCAAAAGGGAGATCAAGTGATACAATATATATTTTTTAATTGTTTTATTAGGGGCTCAAACATCTTCTATCACAATCCATACATACATCAATTGTGTAAAGCACATTTGTACATTCATTGCCCTCATCATTCTCAAAACATTTCCTCTCCACTTAAGCCCCCGGAAGCAGGTCCTTGTTTTTCCCCTCCCTCCCCGCTGCCCCCTCCCTCATGAGCCCTTGATAATTTATAAATTATTATTTTGTCATATCTTGCCCTGTCCGACGTCTCCCTTTGCCCACTTTTCTGTTGTCCGTCCCCCAGGGAGGAGGTCACATATAGTTCCTTGTAATCAGTTCCCACTCTCCCTCTACCCTCCCAGTATTGCCACTCACACCACTGGTCCTGAAGGGATCATCCACCCTGGATTCCCTGTGTTTCCAGTTCCTATCTGTACCAGTGTACATCCTCTGGTCTAGCCAGACTTGCAAAGTAGAATTCGGATCATGAAAGTGGGGTCGGGGAGGAAGCATTTAGGAACCAGAGGAAAGTTGTATTTTTCATTGTTGCTACATCACACCCTGACTGGGTCTCCACTCCGCACTCCCCCCATCATTCACTATGGTAAGATTTTTGTTCTGATGATGAAGTGATGCAATATTACATGTTGACCTAACTGCATCTGCCATCATGGACTATACAATACTCTCTTGCCTGAGAGCAGTCTGGCCCAAATTTCTGTTTTAGAGATTATCTCTGAAGAATAATAATTGAAAACATCCCATTGATTATACAGCCGGTTTTATTATTCCTCATCTTTTACTCTTCTGAAAAGGTCTCTGCTATCCTAACTGTAGCATATTGGTGGCACAGTGGTTGAAGCACTTTGCTGCCAACCAAGAGGACAGTGTTTGGAATCCACTCATGGCTCCATGAGAGAAAGATGTGTCCATCGGCTTCCGTAGAACCCCTGAGGGGCAGTTCTACCTTGTCCTGTAGGAACAGTGTAAGACATGACCTTTCGTTTTTGTTCTGAGGAGTAGAGTTCCTTGCATGTAGAAATTCTGGGTAAACTTCTTGTCAGCCTATACGCTCTAGAATTTGAACGGCTCTTTCTTTTGCCTCCAGTCCTTAAATAGTTCATATCCAATATTCTTGGTTTGGCCACTAATAGTAATATATTTGTTTATTACTGAATTTTTTGTTTGTTTTTTAAACTTAAAAAGGCAAGCAAATCAGTGCTAGTTTTTCCTCTTCCTTATGCCCCAAAAGAATAACATCAAATGTATCTTGTGAAGGCTCCATTGGGAATTTGGCTAATTATTTGCTGCTTTGTTCAAAACACACTACTCAAGTTTTGGCCAGGTGTGGGCTGTGGTCTTTTTTGCACTCCTTTCTCCAGACAGGACTATTAAGAGCTTGGACGCAACAATGAAAACTCTGCTCACAAAGCACTTTTTTTTTTTTTTTTTTTTTAAGGATTTTAGTCCAAACTCAACCTAATGAATCTTGGCTCCCATTACCAACAAAGGAGTTCTGCTTTCCTTTCTCTGTGCCGCGTGTTCCAGATGTACCAGCACCGTGGGGCTTGCCCTTTCCCGGGCTGGACCAGAGTGGTTCTGTGGGTCGAGACAACTGATCCTTCCCCTTCTCCGCCTGTGCTCTGGAGACCTGTGAATTAGGCCCCTGGGAAATGTTTAGGATGGGCTCCTGAGCAAAGGGGTGGGCTTCTAAGCGCCAAGCCAGTGAATGGGATCCTTTCCAAATGTCCTAGCGCAGCCAGGCCATTTCCTGGCAGCCCAGCAACCGGCATGTTTTCCAGTCAGAGTAAAGGTACTATATTGCTTTAACCTGAAATCTTTTTGTCTCGTAGTTTGAAATGACCATGGTTTTGAACATGGTGTCATCATTGTTGACGAGTTTGGCTGCAGCTGTTCGTCAGCAGTTCAAGCCCAGCAGTGATTCCAAAGGGACAGGCTGAGGCTTTCTGTGCCCATAAAGGTTTACCACCTCGGAAACCCTAGGGAGCAGTTCTCCCCAGTCCTATGGGTGGGAGAGCTTTGAAGATAGAAATGCTCCTGTAAACACTACGCAGACTTGATGTGCTGATAGGAAATCTATCAGTGTAGCCCTGGCTGGTCCCTAACTCCCCTATGCTGGCACTGCATGGTCTAAAAATGGTCGGTGAGGCAACCAGTGGCTTTCATTAATTAGTAATGAAATGACGAACTATTGGAGTGGGATGAATTTTTAGAAATGTTGCCGTTTGAATACAGACTGTAGCATATGAAGAAGCACAGCTTTCTCCCACCAACCGCTAGCGTGTCATTTCTGGGTCTGTTGATGGCTCTTAGCATTTATCTCATGTAAAGTACTGGGTAAAGAGCAATTCACAGTTTTAGCCTAGTAATTCAGGTGCATGATGCTTTTGACAATAGGTGTAAAACGGGGCTGGTGTTCTAGAATCATCATTGCTGAGCACAAATGGTTATACCCTGTCAATTCCACAGATACTTTAGCACAGCACTTCTCAAGCTTTCTGGGTGCATTGTGGTTGGGTTCCATCCAGCTGGTTCCCATCCGTAGCCACCCCTTGTGTAACCGAATGATACACCGGCTGGTTCTACACCCTCCTTACAATGGTGGTTGAAACCCTTTGTGGACATGTATATGCATCACTTCAAGATGTTGTTAATACTAAACTTTTGATTCAGTGGGCCTGAGATGCTGCATTTCTAATAAGCTCACAAGAGATTCTGATGCCTCTGGTCACTGGAACACAGTTTGAATAGTCAGGCTTTAGAGGGGACTTACTATATATTTAAAGCTTTTAAGTGACTTTTAGCCTCAAAGTTGGCAGGAGTTAGGAAAGTGAATTCTAGGCACTTGAAAGTAATGGCAAATTCTAGGAATTCTTGGGAGGAAGGCTGCTAATTATGGGATTATAGGAATATGAGTAAGGAATGCTCAGATGGCAATAGCCCATTGACCTCCCACGTTGTCCGGGCCAAGGGAAGGAGTGGCACTGAGTGGGACTCACCAATACCACGAGGCACACCCATGCGTTCTCTGAGGCAGTGTGATCCTCGTGTCACAGGGGAGGAAAGAAGAGTGGTTTCTTGTTTATCCTCATATTAACACGATCAGCACTACCTGAAAAGCTAATTCTCCGGTCCAACCCAAGACCTCAGTTTCACTGAATCAGAAACTCTGGGAGACGGGCCCAGCAATCTGTTTTAACAAGCCCTCTGTGGGAGTCCGGTGCACATTTAGGTCAAAGATTATTTATCTCAGGACAGACTAGATAACAGAACACAGGTAGGTTGGACTCTGAAGCCTGTGCCTCTGGAACAGTTTGATGAATCCGCGTCATTAGAAAGATTGTGTGTGTGTGTGTGTGTGTGTGTGTGTGTGTGTGTGTGTGTGTGTCTAAAGAGCTTAACACCATCATTGCTCCATAATGGGAAAAAGACTCATCTAGTTAACCACTTGAGCATTTACTAAGCAAACTAGGGGCCTCTGTTCAGGTAAGAGAAGTTCATTCTTTGTCTACTATTGACTGCAGCCAGTGAGGTTAGTAAGGAATGTAGGTGGTCTTGGTTATACTCGTGCAGCTGTTGCAGCTCTCTGAGGTTTCGGGAAGGTGGCATTGCATTGTTTCTTGTGGCTGTGTGTGTGACAGTCACGCTGAGGAGACATCAGCTCTGTAACTTCATTGTTGGGCGTATGTAGCAATGCCTGGTAAGGACTTTGGGGATTCTTTATAGTGAGTGCTCCCTGAGAGAGCTCTTTTCCAGGATTCCATTTGGGAAGCTTCCTTTAGTTTTATTGGCAGAGGGATGAGAGAGTAAAGGAACTGGTCACATTGCTTCTCAGTTTATCATGGTCCTTCATTTGATAGATAGGGTTTGCTTGGGACAATTATATTTATGATGTAGACTACTACCAAATCTTGAGTTTATGAGCAGTCAGTGAGAACAGTGGAGTAGCTAATCTCTAATTTTCTCTACTCAGGACATCCAGTTGGCATAGTGGTGACGTGTGGTACTGCTAACCACAAGGTCGGAAGTTTGAAACCCACAGCCGCTTCAAGGGAGAACAATGAGGCTTTCTACTCCTCTAACTAAAGTTTCAGAAACCCCCACGGGCAGTTCTACCCTGTTCTATAGGGTTGCCATAGTGGCAGTCAACTCAATGGCAGTGAGTTTGTTTGTATGATGTCCAGAGAGTGGGTGATAACTTGGATAGAGCTAACCAAGAGGATTTGAGTTATACAGAGTAGGGGCTGACAAGTAGGTAAGAGATTAAGACCGGGAAAAACATCCACAGAAATCTGCAGGCACTGTATGGGGGTCAGGGGAAATGAGATGAAAGGACCCAATTGAAGCCTAATCTAAAGAGATACTGAAGATGGAGGCAGTTCAAATGTAGAGGGCAGGGCATAGCTCCCATAGACCAAGACCCAAATCAAAGGGTTTAGGCAGTTAAATGATATGGTTGTGACAAGAAGCCATAACGGAAATAGAAGTGAATGCTAATTCTGAGTCACACCTAGAGGTTGTGTGAGCCCAGGATTTCTTCAGTCCTCCCTACCTGGGACTAGGGGTGCTTTCCCAGTGGGGAGCTCTAGCCCAGGTGAATACACCTGCCTCAAGGCCGCTCTTTCTCCCTGCTAGGGTAATATTCTCACTGACTCCACCCTCTTATGCCCCCTTTTTCCTTATCCCACCAGTGACTGAGAAAGTCTACGAGAGCGAATCCTGCACAGAGAGTGAAGAGGAGTCGAAGATGAAGACCTCTGTGCACAGACCTCCTACCACGGCTGTGAAAAAAGAACCCAAGGAGGAACGCAAGGGCCCCAAGAAGGGGCCTGCTGCTCCGGGCAAAGCCCACAGACAGGCGTCCATTACTGGCTTCTTCCAGAGGAAGTAGGTGCCATCCTCCCTAGGGCCGAGAGAAGACCAAGAGACAGAGAGACTCTTTCACTTACTGTGTAAGTTCATCTAGCTCCTCGCCCCACCTCTGTCAAAAGACTCTTCCACCACCTGGGCCAGCTTATCCTGTTTCTGGTGTTTATTAACCAGAAGGAAATCGCCGGGATTCAAGAGACAAACGACTAGTTAAAAGCTGGTACCTTCTAATAACACTTGAAAGCACAACATGACCTGTCCAGGAGAAGAATTTGTGCCAAAAATAAATTGCAACGTGTTCAGAATTACTCAGCGATTTCATTTAATGGCTGATCCACTGTGGTCCACCCACCCTGTGCCCTGATCAATCTGGACCCAGCAAGTGTGCCTTCTGATGTCTTTCTGTTCTGTGGACTCCTGTGGGTAACTGTTGCTCAAGGATGTTTACCATTCCCTGTTGCAGTCCCCACGCCATGACCACACTTTCTGTTCGCTACCCCAAGAAGCCGTTTCCTTAAGTCTTGGTTGGACCGAGGATGAAACAAGTCTCCCTGTGACCCCTTTGCCTCCATTACAGAGTCACTGACACCTGGCTGCAGACCAGCACATAACCTCTTTCAGAAGGCTCCCTAGACCTTTCATCGCAATTAGTGGTTCGAGAAAAGCCTCAGGCAGAGCACAAATAGCGCCTTAATGATGTGCTCAGCTCCATGGCCATGGAGAGATCTGTCGCTTGCTGGCAGTGTGGGTTTTGTACTGCTCAGTGTGGTTTTCTGCCCTCCCGACCTGCGCCTCTCAGTACCTCGAGAGTGCAGCCCACCCACGGAAGTGAAGGCTCACAAGCGAAACCCCTTCCCACATACGATGGACGGCAATTACATATGGCTTCTGCTCAAAGAAACAGAGCCTCCAGAAACAAGTTTTCCCAGCAGTTTGTGAGAAGAGCTACGGCCCACCTTTGTGTATAGGCAGCGCTCCTCTGCTTTGTGATAGCCCCATTGGCTCCCCAAGAAGGAAACAGCCAGCGTTCTTCGTGGGTCTCCACAGCAAGTAAGGCATTGTCATTTGTTGCTTGTGGAAAACCAGCTATTGTTACGCTGGCCTGTGTGCTGGGCAGGTGGTGAGCGCCGTGGTGACTGAGGAAAGGAGCTTGGCTCCACTGCTTCTGTGTCTCAGGCCCAGACGAAGGATGTTTGGCTTGCACGCATCTTCTTGGCCTGATGTTAGCCGTGAGTGATGCCGTCTGTTGTCTGCTGTGTGAGGGTAGGATTATGAGTGACCTGAGTATCAATAGGAGCTGCTTTAGTAAATGCCACCCAGCACTCTGCAGCCAGGCACCCCAGGCTAAGATCGGAGGTGTGGGAGAGGAATCCTGGTGTCGTGACTTGGATTTGAGAAAGTGGAGACTCACTGGAGCAAGCTGAGGAGCGGCCGGCATCGTTTCTAAAAATGAAAAGGTGGGGAGAAAGGTGGGAAGCCTGGACTAACTCCCTCCCACTCCCCCCTTGCGGGAGAGCTTCTGGAGGAGTCCCTGTCATCGCTGTGTGTGTGGCTGGCTCTTAGCTGTTTTTCCAAATCAGAATGGAAAATTAATTCAAGAGAAAGCAGTTGCCCAGTCCTTTTTTAAAATTTTCTTTTCCCTGGGATCTCTATTAAGCTGATTCTGAACTAGAGAACTCTGGTGCTGGTCGGAGGGAGCTCCATCTCTCCAGGGATGATACAAACCGTGTGCTGTCTAAGCCCAGTGTGCTCTGCTGCCTGAGCCCCGAGCTTTCTGCTGGGCAGAGTGCGTACTGAGCGGTGGCGGCTTTTTCTTATTATGCAGCCCTCTGCCATGTTATCCACATGAGTTAAATAAATTTGAGAAGTTGTTTTAAAACAGTGCTTCCAGCTGAAAGTCTGATGGGTCTGTTATTTGACAGGATGACAGCAGTGTATGCAATTATTTATACTCTGAACAGGGACAAGGCTGGTTTTCCATTTTTATTGTTAAACTGCATACCCAGGGTCTGAGAGCGGCAGGCTATTTGCTGCCTTCATCATTTTTTCAGCCCTGGGGGAGATCTTTGGTTCAGCCAACCTCATTTTTTTAGTTCATTTAAAAGAAATCCTTGTCCTGAGCTTGTACATTATGTCAGTTTGGCTTTGTCACCTGCTGGTAGTATGACCATGGCCAAGTTTCTGAGCCTCAGGTTCTTTATCAAAATGGTACCAAAATGAGTTACCATTGGGTTGTCGAGACTGAGGCAATGCATAGATAGCCTAAGCCTGGTACACAGTGCCCAGCATACAGGCGGCTTCCTTCCTGGTGTCACATGATGTAGTCAGTTACTGACATCCTGAAACCAGCCCTATCCAAGTTGTGCCCTAGATGTTCGACTCATGCCCCTTCTGGCTGCCCATGTGTTTGCAAGGGGAGGCCGCTGCCTCCTTTGATGAGAGTTGAAGGCAAGTCGACGCTTTCCTCACATGCGCGTGTCTCATGGGTGTTGCTTCTCTGACCTGGCCATAGAGAATACCGAATCAAATGGGATTGATTTAGCCTCTGTCCTCAGGGACCTAGTGGGAGAAAGAGACCAGAAAAGTGAAAGTGCGATGCCAAGTGGTGCTTGCACTGACCGCTGAGTGTTCGCGCCTCTGAGAGTTCGTAGGCCGTTAGGTGTCAGATCTTGTGGAGGAGAAGCAGCTGAGCCGTCTCTGAAGGATGAGCGCTTGTCCAAGCAGGGGATGGAAAGGATTTCCCAGTCACGGAAGCATAGCTTTGGGACTTGAGAGCTTAGAGCTGGAGAGGAAAGTGTGTAGAGAAATGAAGTTGAAGTTCAACGAGGCATTTTGGGTAGCATTTGAAGACAGTAGAACTCTCCTGAAGACTTAAGAAGTAGCATTAGAAGTTGCTTCTCAGTTAAGAGGGGCATCTAGCATTTTCTTTGGTTTACCATGCGAGTGAATATAGTTGCGTGCACATTGTGTCTTAAGAGCCAACTAGTGGAAGGAAAGGTGTTAAAGCTAGTAGAAGCTGCTTACTCCTCACCACAAGCAGGGACTCCTGCTTTCTTCCCTCATCAACATGGATCTCTGTCACAGAAGCTGGGTCTAGAAGTGATTTCCACAGCGGGTAGTTCCGTGAAGCTCTCTGGGATATGAGCCTCCACTCACCTCCTTGGGGTGGGGGAGAGAGGGTGAGTAGAATTGTCCTGTTTCTTTTCTATCTTTGTTTCCCTAAGAAGACACCCGTTCTGATACTGGGGAAGGTTGAAGAGAAGGGCCATATAAGGAAATGAAATCGTTTCTGCAAGACATGAGGCAAATGAGTGCACAATAATGTACTCGGTGTCAAGGCTCGTTTGGGTAAACTTGTCTCCTTTCATTGGTTACGGGATCTCAGTATGCTGTAATGCAGCTTGCTCCCACCACGAGACATTCTGGGGCTGCCTCGTTTTGTTGTGAGAAGGCAGTATTGCTTTCTGAGTTATTGCCCTGGCAGCTCTGTAAATTAGCCCATGCTGTCACCGTGCCCTCTGTGAAGGGCACATTGTACCCAAATGTCCACACTTAGGATTGACTCTTGCCACTCCCTGCTGTATGACACTTCTCTCAACTTGTGTCTCTGTCCAGTTTCTTGTGCTCATAAGTGTGGGCCACCCACAGACTGCCACCCAGGCTTCTTAGCAGAGGAGCTGGGAAAGAAGGCTTCCCTCCAATCCTTTTGCTGTCTGGTAGACCCACCTCAACTCACCTTCCATTTGAAACCCTAAATGTTGTCTGACTCCCCAGCACCTTCCTGGCCCCACTCCCTTTTCTCATTTGCCCTTTCCAGACTCTGTTACTTTAGGGTTCATCTGGTTTCCCACCACCTCATTTTCTCAGTACTCCAAGTTCTTCTTGGCTAGTCCTTCTTTCCCTAGCTGATTTCCCATATGACCTGTCTTTTACTGGACGGCTCGTGAAGAATGGAAAAGCCACTTTGTTTAGTATCTGCTTTGGATCAGTCAAAGCCAAAGTGCCAAGAGCTGTTGAATGCTAGTTATATTTAGTCCTGGGCAAGAGTCGTAGGGATTGCAAGAACTCAGAGGTGACCATTTTGGTGTGAGAGGACATGCACAGTAAATAGCATATTAACTAACAGTTGAGAAACTGCTTACATGACTGTAGACAACAAGGGACTTGATACATCTGAAAACGGCCAACCAACCTGACCACCTGCTAGAGTCTGTGTGTCGGGATTAAAACTGGCTCTGGAGACTCTCCACTGGCTGATTTATTTCAGAAGCAGATAGCAGGCCTTTCTGTTGAAGCACCTCTGAGTTGGCTCCACCCATCTCGCTTTCTGTTAGCCCCTGAGTGCATTAACCATTTGTATCACTGAAGGGCAACTCCTACTTTTAAGAAAAGAATTAAGGTAATCCTAACGGGCACAGTTTTGACAGTCCGGTACAAGCACAAGAAACCGGCTGAGAAAGGTTCAGCATTTTAGTAGTCTTAACTGTTTGAACCCCATTTGCCATCCACACATTTATGATAGAGCACAAGCGATGATGGAGTGGATCTTTACCGTAGTTTTTTCTGCCCTACCCTAGGAAGGAGACTTGGCGGGATGGCAAGCAGGCACTGGGGATCGTTTCAAAAGGCAGCTTATGGTCAGTGGAAATCCGTTTTGCATGCACTTAGTGGTTTGGGCATACAGTGGAAGAGGGTGCTATGAGGGAAGCCAGGCTTAGGATGCAGAAGGCCCTTGATCAGATCCATTTCCCCACCACCTACCTTAGCGAGTTACCTACTGGTAGCTTTAAGGCTAGAACAATGGCGCAGGAGGCAGTGGTTAGCTTCTGGCTTCAGGGTGGGAAGGAGACAGTGCATCAGCCCAGTGTCAATTCCTAGAAGGCAGAAGTCAGCCATACCTGCACCCTCTGACCTTTTTAACCAATCCTTGATACACATATTTTAACCAATCCTTGATACGCACATTACTTCCTGCTGCACACATTACTTCCCGGCTTGGTTTGGTAATTCATGATAATGACCACACAAAACTCAGAGCATTCCCACGATAATGGAGTTTATTAGGGAAATAGCAACTACAACTCAGGTTCAGCAGTGTTCAGGATATAGGCATACCTCTGTCTGGCTCTGTCCTTCATCTGCCTCTTGCCCTCTGCCCTGCTCAGAGCTGTTAGCTTGGGCACTTGGGCTCTGCTTGGCATTAACTGTGGCCCAAAGACACTCAGACCTAGCTCCATGAATCAGCAAACCTTTCTCCCCTCTCCTTCTAAGGGTCTGGAAGCAGCCCACTAGACCAGCAAGCCTTCCA